CCCCACACCCCTGAACCTTCCACCGTTCTGTGACTGGAGCCGTCGAGGCGAATGGTAGCAGTACTTTGCGCCTGACTGCGCATGGCAGCTCGGCCTCATCCAAGGCTGGAAAGCCGCAGTGGATGAATAAGTGTTCAAGGGCTTCTTAGTCGTTTAGGGATCGACAAGTTTGGACGTCGGCTTGGGGGGTTTCGGTTTGTAATTTTGGGGCTTTCGGGTTTTAGGGTCCTGAGAGGCCTCGTGATTTCGAGGATTTTAGGGTTTAGGTTTAGGGTTTAGAGCTTAGAGGCCCGAGATCCCAAACTCTATCTCATCCCTAAACTATCAGCCCTGCACCCAGGTGCTTACTCATGTGCTTCGACGGGTGTTGTCGAAACCGAACAAACTGAACAGCGCATCGACGGATGCGAGCTGGCGATCACCTGGGACGATCAGGAGGTGCATCCAACGAGGCTTTCGGTCTTGTAAGGAGGGGTCATAGAAGGAAACCTCAGGCTTCTGTACGTGCACTCTGGGGCTCTGGGGGTTCGTCCGGTTTGCAAAGGTTTAAGATCGAAGGATGGTCAGGCTTATTGCGATTGCTGAGGGTTTTCGAGGGTGTTGCAGGTTCTTGTGTTGTTTGATGGTTTTGAGATGGTGTTGTAGGTGCATGCGGGGGTGAGGGTTGTTGAGGGCTTCTTTGCGTGTCTTGCTGACTTTGCAGATGTTTTGAAGCTTTGCTTGTGTGGGGGTTTGCTGATATTGAAAGTTACTAAGTTTTGTTGGTTTTGTGCTGCCTCATCCAGTACCTCTCGACATCTTGTAAAGCATTATGGTATTGATTAGGGTTCAACTTGAAATTCTATGTAATCCAAATCAGGCTCAGGGATGTCGCTTTTACGGAACACTTCTCAGTTTCTCTAAAGCTCATAAGAAAGGCTTTGGACATGGCCCGCGAGGCCGGGCGGAGCCGGGCGGGAGCGGAGCCGAGCCCGAGCGGCCGGGCCCGCGACAACTTTGGATGGGTTTGCGAAGGGTTTTAGTGAATCCTAAGGGGTTTAAATGAATTTTAGGGTTTAGGGTTTAAGG